TCTTTTCTTTTCTTTTCTTTTCTTTTCTTTTCTTTTCTTTTCTTTTCTTTTCTTTTCTTTTCTTTTCTTTTCTTTTCTTTTCTTTTCTTTTCTTTTCTTTTCTTTTCTTTTCTTTTCTTTTCTTTTCTTTTCTTTTCTTTTCTTTTCTTTTCTTTTCTTTTCTTTTCTTTTCTTTTCTTTTCTTTTTTTCACTTTTAAACTCGATTATCCATTTTAGGGGTTCTGGAAACCACTTCTCATGTTTCATGGGCTTTTAAACTGACTTTTACCCTGGGATTTTTTCTCTTTCAGACCCACATACCCCGGTCTTTGTTTGATCTTTAGAACTGCTCACCCCACTTCTGGGGACTCTTAAAACCTCTTGTCTCATTTTTTTGTGACTTTAAAACCCACTTAACCCAGTTCTTGGAGCTTTTCCAAACACTTATGCCAGTTTATTTATTTTTTTTTTCTTTTAATTGCACTTATCCCATTTTTAGGGGCCTTTATATTCACTTAACCCATTCTTTTGGGGATTTCAAAATTATAAATCCTGAGGGTTTTTTTTTGGTTTTTAAAACCACTTATCTCCAGTTTGAATGTTTTTAAAATGACTTATCTGGAGTGGGTTTTTTTTGCTTTTTAAACCAATTATCCCTTTTTTTTGCAGGGGGGTGTCAAAGGAGCTTATCCTGGGGTGGGGTTTTTAGGGGGTTTTTTAGGTTTTTAAAAGAATTTCTTCCATTTTTGGAACTTTTCAAACCATTTAACCAATTTTTTATTAATTTTCCCTTTTCAAGCCACTTATCCCAATTTGGGGGCCTTGTAAAGCCACTCATCCCATTTTTGAAGGGTGTTAAACCCACTCACCCAATTTTTTTACTTTTGGTGGGTTTTGTTTGTTTGTTTGTTTGTTTTCCCTAGTTTTTAATTGGTTTTGTTTTTTGAGGGTGATGGGTTTTTTTGGCTTGTATCCCAATTTTTGGGGCTTTAAAAATGTCTGGGCATTCTTTTTGCTTTTAAAACCACCTACCCCGTTCTTTTTTTTTTTTTTTCTTTTTTGCTTTTAAAACAACTTATTCCAGGATATTTTTGGATTAAAAGCCCCCTATGTCCCATTTTGTGGCTTTTGCAATGACTTATCCCTCGGGGTTTGTTGTTTTTATCACCATTTCCCCATTTTTTTGTGGCTTTAAAACCCCCATTAACCCAGTTTTTGGAACTTTTAAAAGCACCACCCCCACACTCCTTTTTTTTTTTACCCACTTGTCCCACTTTTGGGGCTTTCAAAGCTGCTCATCCCATTTTTGAGGGCCATTAAATGCAGTTACTCCAATTGTTTGGCTTCTAAAAGAACATCTTGATGGGATTTTGGGGGAGAGGGTTTTTTTTGTGAGTTTGTTTCTGTTTTGATTGTTTGTTTTGGTTTTTTTTTGGTTGGGTTTGGAAGGGTTTTGTTGTTTTTTTTTTTTGTTTGGTTTTCAGTTTTTTTTCTTTTCTTTTAAAGCCACTTCTCCCCATTTTTTTGCTTTTTAAATTTTTTTTTCTTTCAAAATGACTTTCAAATTACAGCCCCTCCCCCCCCC